AGCAGTAATATGCAGTTTTAGGGCTCTATGATTGTTAATAATAAATGTAAATAAAAAAAATACGGTAAAATTATACAAAATGCGTAGAAAATGTTGATTATAAACTTGATTTGTCAGAGAAGCAGCGAGAGTTGTAGTCCATTTATTTATTTATTTTTTTATTGAACTTCAGTGCCATTTTTTGGATAATTTAATGCCCTACAAGAATATGCCAAAAAAAAATTGTATCTGAAACGTTTAAATAGTCATAAGTTTTAATGAAAACAAATCTTTTACTTGTTATTTACATGGAAATCTTCAAATGCCCACCATCACCTTTTAAAATTGTAATATCTACAACTTAATCCAAATGGAAGAATTTTCTTCTCAGTAAAAAGTTAATTTTAAAGTTATAAATTCGTTGAGTTAGTTATTTTGGCTCACTCTAATGTACAGCTATTAATGCTCATCCAACCGAAGCTCTGTTACACGACCTGATCCAACGAATCTGTAGCAATTGCTTCATCTAGATAACATATTTAGGGTCACATTGTTTAACTGTACACGTTCGTATGTGGAGCGCGCATCATTTCAAATAAATATTACATATACATAGTAGAAAAGTACGATGCCTTAAAATCGCGGCTACATACATATATATGTATGTATGTATGTACATAAAATTTCAAATGCTAACTCATCATTAATTCAAATAAGCGCCCTTTAAACAAAATTTCATTTGTTGCGTTGTCGCACACACAAATAAACAGCGTTAAATACATTAGACATTAGGAAGCATGCCAGCTCTTTCTTTTGCTTTTTACTACTTGCTATTGTTTTGACTTTTTTGTTTTGTTTTGGTTTCACATTGCTACGAATCTGCTACATTAAGCCACTTTTTTCTCAATTTTCCCCTAGCTTAGTGTTTTTTTTTGTTTTGGCATTGTTTGCGTGTTACCTTATACAATTCAATCATTTACATGCTAACCGCAGTAGATATGCGTTAACTGAGTGAACGGGTTTGTGCCTTAAGTCTTTAGGTTTGAAATTGAACTGTGGCGGTGGTGGCGTTGTTGTTATTGTATGGCAGCTGTTAAGTACCTAAACAGTTATTTGCCGCAAGCTGGCATTAAAATTGAAATACGCTTACAACTATTAAAGCTGATTGTTGCCATTGTAGGTATCTAGTATTTTGTTGTACTTTTAGCTGACTGCTCACCTGCGGGCCATAATGTGTAACATTTTTCATCATTTTGGAACTTGGCTTAGTTGTTTTCTGCGGCCAGTCTTCAATTACCACTTACATTTTCAATTAATTTTTGAACATTTTTCCCATTCCCAGGAGTTAGTTTTTATTTTTTTTTTATTTTTTTATTTTCTTTTGCGCGCGCGTTCGTTAATTATACATACACAGTTGCCTCGCGCTGGCCCATCATTCCCTCAGCGCAAATTAATTTTAATTTTAAGTCTCTGTTGTCAACAGCGCAGGTAATTGAGCAGAATGACATTGGCTCATCTCTCATTACATATCTACTAGTCATTATCTCTAAGTGCTAGCAAAGTATAGTAATACTTTTTTTGACAATCTAAGTTTTTTGACAATTAAAGTTATTATTAAAGTTTTAAGTAAATGAAACATAACATCAAATAGCATAATATAGCATAACATAACATAATATAACATCTAAAACATGACATAACAAAGCATATCATCAAACAGCATAGCATAAAATAACACAACATAACATAACTTAACATAAAATACTATAACATAACGTAATATTACATAACACAACAGGGCAAAAAATCAAAATTAACAAACATATAATGTAACATAACAAACCGTACTTAACAGAACATAACATAACTCAACATATCACATCATAACATAAGTTCGCTTTAAATATCGTCAAAAAACATAACATAACATAGCATAGCGCAACGTAACATGAAATAACAATGCATAACACAGCATAATATAATGTAACAAAACATACCATTGCACTAATTACTTGCGGAAGGTTCTGCATCAGCAATCTGCAAATGTGCAACATTGGAATTTACCTTTGCTTTTTTTTATTATTGTTGTAATCAAATATGATAAACAATGTAGGTCAACATATGAAAATTAAAACAAGAAACATATGTTCGTCAACCAAAATATTAAATGATCCATATGAAGCGCCGTCGCTAAAAAATCAATGCACTCTTCCATCCAGTGAGAGAGAGAGAGATAGATTGCGCACGCGCTCAAGTGACAAAGAAGAGCGTGTAAATAACAACCAAAAGTTGACGGACGCATGCACACATACACACACTTTCAAGCTAACTTACCGTGTATGCCACACAGCATGCGGTTACTCATACAACATGACGACCATGCCATCCTCACAGCTGTCAGCACTTCAAAGTGTGGTATATAAAAACTAACGGCATTGCCGTGGCAATCATTAGTCGCGCACTTGTCGGCAACGGAACGGTGCGAATTAAAGAAAAGCGCGAATTTGGATACGTAAAAGAGTCAACGAAGTCAACCAATTGAATAGTGACTGCAAAAGGATAACGAGAAGCGATCAAAAACGAATTAAAGTGTGAAGCGGAAGAAAAGTGCTGAGCAATTTAAGAAAAACAGCATTCCGCAGCGATGAAATATTTTGTAAGTTTAAGTGAAAAAAGAACCTTCAATGGAAACCTTAAAAAAATCTAAAAAGAAAGCCTAAGTGAAATCTGTTTACAGTGCAAGCGTTTAATGTGAAGAAGAAGAATAAGTGAAAACTTGAAATTCCAAAAGCTCAACTTTACATTAATCTAATGAACTAAATATATTTTAATTATAAATAGCAAATGCAATCGAAAGCCTCCAATTAACCTCCAAATTTTTGTTATTGTTCTCATCTAACTTCAGGTTTGGTTTGGCGTCGCAATGGCGCTTTTGGCGTCCAGCGCCTGGGCCAGCGCAACAACTGAGCGCAAAGCTGAGTCACGCATCAGCGTCGCAGTCAAGCCAAAGCGTGAAGCGCCACTATCGAGCGGCAGCAGCAGCTATCACGGACCATCCTATAAATATCTGCCACCTGCGCCCGCCTCGATTGGCGCCAGCGCCAGCGGCTACGATAGTTACAGCAGCCATGGCGGTGGTTCGGCCAGTTTCGGTTCAAGCGGCAGTGCTGGCTTTGGCTACGATTTCGGAGGCGGCGCCGCACATGTGAGCGTACCAAAAGTTGAGACATACATTGTGCAGACAGAGCCTGTGCATGGTAGCTACGCGGGCAGTGTGAGCAGTCATAGCGGCGGCGGTGGCCATTTTGCTGCTGGACACAGCCATTTGGGTCATGGTAGCGCTGGCAGCAGTGGTTATCGTTATAGTAGCGGTTCACCTCACTTCCAATCAGGCGGCTCAGCATTGCTGGGACACAGCAGTTTTGGCGGTGGTGGCGGCGGTTATAAATTCCACGCCAAATCGCGTCCACACATACAAACCATCATTATACCGGCCAGCTCCTTGACGCACAGCTCGGGCGGCAGTTTCGGCGGTGGGCATGCGGTGCACTCAAGTGGTGGTGGAGGCGGCAGCGGTGGCTATCAGTATGCCCCCACTTTTGGCAGCTCCTTGCACTCGAGCGGGGGTGGGTTTGGCAGCGGCTTCGGCGGTGGACATAGTGGCAGCAGCGCATTTGGTGGTCATTCTAGCGGCGGCTTTGGCGCGGCTGGCGGCCATTCAGTGTCGTATAGCCCGCAGCAGGGCTATGGCTACAGCGGCCATGGCAGTAGTAGTGGCACAGTATTGGGTTTGAGCAGCAGAGCACATGGCGTACAAGACGGTCATATTGCCAGCGGCGCAACACTTTCATTCGGCAGCCATGGAGGTTACAGCGGTCAGGGATATTCACAGAGTGCACCCAGCATACCTTCGACCAGTTATGGCGTACCTGCTGGCCCAGCTATTGGCTCATATCATGGCGCTGGCGGTACGGGTAGCTCCTATCATAGCAGCAGTGGTTACGATACTCCCTCCTATGCGGTGGGACACAAAGGTTTGGGTCATTTTGGTTTCAGCGCCAGCAAGCCACATGCGCTGAGTACCAATTTTATTGCTTCCGATAACTCAGGGTATGATGAGCACAGTAGTCGGGCGCCATTCAAGCCATCCACTCTCTTGGGCACCACTCACGAAGTATCCGGTCCAGCCTCCCAGTATTTGCCGCCGACATCGCCGGGATATGAGTACCAATCGCCGTCAGTGCTGCTTGGTGGTAGCTCGACAGCTGGCGGTGCATCGTCGACAAGCATAAATGAACCAGATTCTGCGTACCTGCCGCCAGTGGCAACGCCTGGCGCGAACTACTTGCCGCCGCATCATCACTGATTTGATACTCAGCATCGCAACGTCGCGCTGGATCGAGCGGCCTCATCCGATGAAATGTTGGGTGTACTTTATATGTACTCCCATTTGCTGCTTTTTATTTATTGACAGCTACTTCGCTTAGTTTTCGAGTTTCCTTTGTAACTAGTTTTTAATATTATTTTTTATTTTTTGTATTCACGCACGATTATGAGAAGAAATTAAAAAAATAATTTAAATTAAGCATTCATATTTTATTTGTTTACAACGAGCGTATCTATAGCAGGGTTGCACTTGGTTTGTATTTCCTAAACCCAGTATTAATACGAAAGGAAAAAAATTTGGATAAAATGTTTGGTGTTTTTATTTAGCTGAATATACGCTGAACTAATTTTTAATTGTGCTGAGTATGCGCTGAATCATACATTATACTGAAAACAAATTAAAACCAATACTTTCACAGCTTTGCTTCTACACAAATTTCATTTTCCAATGTGCTGAATATGCGCTGAATTTAATATTAATTACATATAACTTGGAATTACATGAAACTTAGTTTTGAGCACAAACTTTTATTTTAAAATGTGCTGAATATGTGCTGAATTGCATATTTGGCTGCAAAATTAAGAACTATTTCAGTTACGATCTTAATATCGCACAACTTTTATTTTTCGATAAGCTGAATATGCGCTGAATCGTACGTTGTGCACAAAATTTCTAAAACGCCGCAGCAAAATACGTACGTATAAGTAAGTACGTAAGAGCCTGAATCACGCGAAATGATGTATAGCCACAAATTTTGAATTTTCCGTGTGCTGAATATACGCGGAATTATACACTATTACAATGCAAACAATAAAAATTACTAAAACAAAGGTTTTACTAATACACAGCTCTCTTTTTCGATTTGCTGATTATAAAATGATAAAATAGCACCGCTCTAGGAGCTTTCAAAACCACTTTGTAATTTTCGGTTTATGCTTTGGTAAATTTGTGCTGAATAGTATATTTTTCAGGAAAAACATATACCAACAACATAAAATCGGGTTGGGTTAAATCACGCAAAATTTAACAAACACATGCCCCGCCTCTCTTTTTGTATGGCTGAATATGAGCTGAATTATTCTAATACTAAGGCAAAATACGGAATTCTTTTGTTTTTCAAGAGACATTATTATTTACATTTACAATTATTATTAATTAATTGTCTCAAAAACTTAACAGTCGCGTTAAATAACCTTATTTATTCAGCTAGCTAAATGAAACTACTTGCAAAATATGTGAATGAAATACACAATTATCTAAAGTATGTGAATTCCATCTAAACCGCAAATAAAATTTCAAAAGAAAATAAAAAAATAATATGGAAAATATATTAAGTCAAAAATAGCTTTAATATAACCTAGCTGAATTTACGCTGAATACCCTAAGTATTGGTAAACAGATGCTAGTTGTATCGTCACAGCTTTTTAACCTCACAAGTAGCTCTATTTGGTGCGCTGAATTACAATTCTACTTTCATGTGCCATTTTATTTTATTATATTCAAGCAAAACGCACAAATGTATTTCAGCTGAATTGCTTTGAATTAAAATTTGACGAGCTGAATACCCCAAGCAGAGCTATAAAAGTATGAACTCAATTTCGGCTTTTCGACCGAAGCAAAGCTTTAAAATGCAGTGCTTAATTGAGAAAACTACATAGAAACTTGTGACTTTTGCACTACTTTTGGATTTTCGAATTATTTTATTGCTGAATTACATTTCTGTTTTCATGTGCCATTTTATTTTATTAAATTCAAGCAAAACACAAAAATTTATTTCAGCTAAATTGCTTTGAATTAAGATTTTACGAGCTGAATACGCGCTGAATACCCCAAGCAGAGCTAAGAAGGTATGAGACCAATTTCCTAAGGCTTTTCTATGCAAGCTAAGTTTTAAAATGCCGTGCTGAATTGAGTAAAAGACATAAAAACTTGTGATTTTTGCACTACTCTTTAGTTTGCGAATTATTTGATTGCTGAATAACAATATTCCGAATTGTCAGAGCACCAAGCACTACTCGTACAGTGCACATTTAAAGTTGACCTAAATTGGAGTTATGTCGCAAATAACCAGCTAATGCGCGATTACACAAGCATATCTAATTATCTTAATTTTATTGCCTTCATCTATCCCATATCGAGCTGCAGTTATCCCACTGTGTGCGCTACAAAGAATTTTAAATTTTCTCCACGCACGCGCTTTGAAAACTTAATTCAAAATTTTCGAAATTCATAGTCTACCAACGCCCAAGCGACAGCATTGACATTTTAATGATGCGCCCAAATGAAATTGAAAGTTCAGTTGCGATGCCAAATGTTGCATACGAAATTTTGCATTTGTCAGTGATATATCAGCTGCCAAATTGGCAAACATCAACAAGTACGCATTTGTTAGTGATGGGGGAAAAGAAATATTTCATTACAGCGGCTTAAATTTATTGCCGAATAATACATAAAAATGGGGAAAAAATTGACTAACACTTACATATGTATGTATGTACATATGTTGGAGTAAATATGTATGTATGTTGGAACACTACAAAAACACTATTCAAGCAAGTTTCTTTCCAAGGCAGTTATTTGCGTATCTGTGAAAAATTTGATGTCAGCAACCTTCATTGCGGGAACGTTTTTCCTCTTGGCTATGCACAAGGTGTGACAATGCCTTTGGTATTTTTTGGATGTTTTAAACTTTATGGCCTTGTAAAAATAATTGACGCTGTTGGCATTGCTGCCAAGGCATGTATGTACGCTGGAAAATTGTGCGTGCAACAAGTGCAGCAGATGTTCAGCCGATAATTTCAGCAGCGCAGCCGTTTTACTTATTAGGTGAATTGTTATCAGCTTAAAAAAGTGAAAATTAAATTAAGTAGGAAATTAAGCATAACAAAAAAAACAGATTATTGTCGTTGCAGCCACTATAAAACACATTCCAAAGTGCTTGGTTTAACATTTCTTGGTCGAAAGCAATTCCAAATCATGCTGTAAGCGCATACCGAATTGTTGCCAGCTTTATAATTGCGCTGAATTGTATTCAGCATTAATTCAGCGCCTATATTACGAGCTTGGTAATTAAGTAAGTTGTTTTTCTACTATCAAGAATTATTGTTTGCGCTAAGTATATTGCTATTCAGCAACATCCGCGTACTAGATTTTCTGTGCGGTATCTCTCTGAAATACCACAAAATTAAGCTGCTCGGCAGCAGTGGAGTTTATTCAGCACAATTGAGCACTAAGAAAATGATAAATATTGCACTAGATATCATAAAATCAAATCTCCATTTCAGCTATTCAGCGCATTTCAACGTGCTTTATAGTATAATTCAGCAATTTTCAAAGCGTAAAATTGTATAAACTGCCTAAACTTTGATTTCGGCTTCTTACTACAATTCAGCTAATTTTTAGATCATTCAGCACAATGCTACTTGTAGTGGTAGCAATGTTGCAGAAATGTTTTGCTAATCTATGCAACAAATTGTGCGAAATTTGAGGTAGTAAGCAATAAAAGCACTTAATTTTGTTGAATACTTGCCTTTGTAGATATATTCTTAAGCTATTCAGCCCAATTCAGCTAAAACGTTACCTAATTCAGCCCAATTCAGCGCACATTCAAGGCTATCTCTTGGCGCTATGTACTAATCTTTTAAATTGTAAAATAATGCAGATTAAAGTAGGCAAGATTTGTTGTACCCATTCAGCCCTAGATTTTAATGAATTTATTTTTCTTTTTTGGCAAATTATGATGAAATATTTTTCACAACAGTGCCAATTCTGCACTACTCAGCTGAACTTATTTCTTATACAGCGCTCATTTAGGACTACATTTTATGCAAACTGCAGTAAAATAATGTAAGTAAATCAATTCAGCACTAATTCAGCTCACATTCAGTTACATTTTTTAGCGCTTTTTTATGCTTTTTTTTGTGCAGGTTTTGGTAAATTTTCTTTTATTTTTATTAAATAATACAGCACTAATTCAGCACGCATTTAATTAATCTTTTTGCGTTGTTTGTTGCACATTTTAGCAATTTATGTTCCAGCTATATAATTTCGCTAGATAGGGAAATGTCTCAATAATGGCTTCCATAAAAATTACCACAAATAGCTTTGAGTTTATTGTTCGTAACTTTTGCAATTTTTCCATTTCATTTTTACGCAGTTTTTTTCTTTAATCTATTTTTTTTAATTTTCGTTGACTAATCAACCATTAAATATTTAGCATCCATTATGTACATATGTCCATATGTATGACATGCGCATGTCTGTGTTTCCTTACGTTTTTCAGTCATTGTCTGCCAAACTTTTCACTGTCATTGGCACCTGTTGCTACAAATATAAATATTTTGTTTGCTTTTTTATTTTAATTTTTTTCTATGTCAGGGTATCTTTGCACATATCCACTGTGGCAATAAAGCATGGTACGTACGCTATAATTACAATTACAATGACAGCAGCGCACACTGCAAATAATTATGACAGCTGTACAGAGGAAATTGATTGAATGATAAAATGAAGGAACAAGAAATTTTGCTTAAATGCAAAAATTGCATAATTCGCAAAATCCGTTAAGCAATGAAGCGGGGAATTTGTGTTAACAATGTTGTAACTAAGAGATTACCTACTAAGCGAGGCCCACCTCAAAACACTTCTGACCCACTTACCCTTTGAATGCTTCAACTGAGCTTAAATGTAAAAAGAAAATAGCAAAAGTAATTATCAAAATAACACATTTACATACATATGTATGTATTTTCATAGAAGAAAGTTTATCAGAAAATCTTGAGAAAAACATTTTGCTTACAATCACTGAGAAATATGCCAACTATTTAAACCCTAATGAAATTACGTCGGCTCAAAATGCTCCAATTAGTGCAAAGTGATGACGTCATGCTTAGCTGATCACCACCATCTGCACCACTTCCGCCGCCTGACGCACACACACGCACACACTTTAACTATATATTAAGTACTATAGCGAAGTCACAGTGAAGAGGCGGCCAGTCTCACTGAGCGCTAGCGAGTGCCTTACATCATTTCACTGAATTGCTTTCGAAAGTGAATGTCTGCGTTAAAATCCCAAATAGAAGAAAAAACAAAGGTAAAGAAAATAAGAAATAAAACAAAGCAAAAAAACAAATAAATATATTTAACAGATAGGAAGTTTAAAA